ATATATTCTGTCTGCCTTTTTTTTCTTTTTAATAATAACTCTCTATATACCAACCAACTTTGCAACTATTCAAATATTGAACTCATCTTAATAAAAAAATTTAAAATTTTTTTATCCCTACATCCTTACAGGAAGTCAATCAAACTTCCCGTCATTTCCACTTGTGTACACCTTGATCATATATATATAGATATATAATTATATATCCTGTACTTCATTTGTTCACAATCGAATTCTATTTTCAAATGCACACGTTCATAGAAGAAGATACAATAAAATTTAAAAAAATTTGAAAATCAACGAAACAACCTAACAATCAGTCAGATTAGTGAATGAACAATGAAACCATAAATATATATATATATAAATATTCAGCATTCAAGGTGAGAACAACGCGGGAAAAACGAATCAAGAATCATGCGAACAATTCAATACATATATATATATATACAGATAGATAGATAGAAATTACATGAATCCCTCTCTCTCTCTAGTTCTCTTCCTTACTTTTCATCGACAACTAGTAGTGTAATCAATGTTTATTCGAATCGCGAAAGAATAAATAAATTTCCTGTTCTCATAAAATTTATCATGATGATTGCTCGTTTTGTTTTCTGTCTCTCTCTCTCTCTCTATTACATATTAAAATTTTTAACACACTTGAATCTTTAGTCAACTATCCTACCTAGATATATGTCCTGTGTTTGTTGTTCGTTATTTTAAGTTGTTGTGAAAAAAAAAAACAATAAAATGTGTTAGAGAGGAGAATAGAACAAAATGGTTTGAATTAAGTAAGTTTATATTATTTAGTCTGACGGAAATGGGTGTAAACACAATGTGTTTTTATTTATGTTCACATATTACTGAGGTGAAGGGGGAGAAAAGCTCTCTGTCTTCTACTGACTGAATATATATATTTATATATACATATATATGTTTGTGATTTTTTAAATGTTAACCGGATTTTCGTGTGAAGTAAACGAACTATGCGATATATATATATATATATATATATATATATATATATATATATATATATATAGAGAGAGAGAGAGAGAGAGAGAGAGAGAGAGACAATAGGGAAGCTCGAAAAATATTGGTCTTTTGATTAGTGATCTAGTTCCTTCTCTCTAACAGTAGAACAAACCAGATCCCAGCGGAGTAAGAAATCACGAAAAAGCGCTGGAAGTGGATAGAACACACATTGAGGAAAGCAGCCAACTACGTCACAAGTCCTCAGTTGGAACCCTCAAGGTCAAAGGAAAAGAAGAATACCAAAGTATAAATTACACCAAGAAATGGAGACGGACATGAAGAGAATGAACAGAGTAGGTTGGGGAACGCTGGTCGACGGCCTATGTTCTATTACGGACTGATAGGCGTAAGTAAGTTGATGAATGAAATTTTAGCCTGAGATAAACAAATACCATAAGTAAAAAATTATCATGTGCATATTATTAATTAATGATCAGAAAAAAATTGTTTTTAAATATTATTATGTAATTTGAATTTTAGTTTTATAAAATAGAAAGTCTAGTCCCAAAAGAATTAATATGATTTTAATCAGAAAAAAATCGTTGAATAAGTCCCCAAACGAGCATACAACAGACAATACGCTCAATGGTCTGGTGTTTGCGCGCAAGACATAAGGCCTCGGTTCGATTCCTGTGTGCGGACGTTGTGGATACGCACTGCTACTGATGAGTCCCATACCAGGACGAAACGGCTGTACAGTGCTGCCAGGTTTATAATAAGGGTCTAACAATGATTGATTCATGATTTCAATGAAAAATTCGCTCAATGTTATTTAGCAGTGTTGTTGTGTATAAAATTAGATACAGATGAGTTGTTGTAGTCTGATAAAATATGTCAAGTAAATAAGTAAACAGTGTATTACTAATATTCTTGTAGAAACAATGGTGAATAATTGTTTGAACCCCAACTTATGCACGAACAGAGATTACAATGGTTAGTTTGACAGTGTACTGGTGACTTCTAACGTGATTTAATGTATCCGCATAATACGCCTACGAAACGCTTTTATGTGCATACGCTTTGTGGTAGGATATTCATCCAATATCCTAAAAGAATTATTAGTCAATTCCTATTGGTTAATCCCTACTGGTCAATTTTATGGTCGTCCTAGATATCAATGTCACACACTCCAGCGTTGTTTCTCATTGGTTGTCCTGACTGTTGGTGTCACTTCAAATGTTGCTTCCTACTGGTCGTCTTAAGTGTCAATGTCACAGATTTCGATGCCGTTTCCTATCTGACCAAAATGTATAAAGACGCATTATTTGTAACGTTTTAAGACCACGACCAGGACAGGGCTCGGTCCCGGATCCCTAGTCCAGGATCCTGATTCTCTTCTGGATTCGGACCTCGTACTTTCTGGAAGTTTATAGAATAAAGATTCTACTTCATATCAAGTCTTCGTATTTTTACTTATTATGGGGGGGGGGCTGGAATAATTGGATTTGAGTAGTATGTCGTGTCACAGGATCCTCGCTCTCGTTTTCCGACTAGGTAAACTCGTAATAGTTCAAGTATATCAAGTTGATGTGTTTACGTGCAGGCGTAACACTTTGCAAATATTGTTTATTCTCCTTGATACCCTAACCGTTTTACTTCTTTTAGTAGACAGTACGAGCTCAAATATAAACAACAGCTTTCATGAACCAAGTCTTTCGCAAAATTTGAAAAATCATATTTTTAAAGTTTTAATATTGAATTTTCTGTTTAAAAGCCCACATATCATTTAGTAATTATTGACCCAACCTGGAGATCTTGGATTACTGCCGGTTTAAACCCTAAATAAAGGAGGAGGTAGGATATAGAGTTAACGACCCCACAAGGCAGAAAACCAACTTCCTAAAAGAACGTTAACTAGAAAAAATAATTGAAACCATGATTGGCTTCTAGTCCTATAATAATTGGATAAATTCTCTGAAACGTATGATATCTGATTACTGATGATTTCAAGAAGAGTCTGAAATAGGTAAGTGGATTTTATTCCCAGAAAAATTGATTACTAATTAGCTAATGTAATTTAGAAAATACAAACTTTACAAGGAACCATACTTAAGATCCATCGATTTATGAAACTAATCCGTTGTTCGAACTGAGACAAAGAGGAACAAGTTAAGAATTAGATTTAATTAGTGAAAGCTATTTTGAGATGATGGAGAAAATTTGTAGGTCAGCTGGGTGATTGTGATAAGGTTTCGTTCCTTGAGCTGGATTTTCTGGTTGTGGAGCCTACATTACTCCTCTCAACAACATTATCGGCACAAACTTCAAGCAGAGAAGTCAAGTATTAGAACTTTTCCACGTATGACTAGAAGCTTGTTCTGTTAACCTCGATCTTGATTGGTCGCTGTTGACCTTAAACCTGTCGTTGTTTGCACCTTTATTTTAATGGTATCCCTTGATCTGTTTTTTTATCCAGTTTATTTATGGTTTTTCTGATTGGTTGATAATTTGGATAGATGTCAATGTTTTTTTGATTGGTGATAAACTTCTATAAGTGGAGTACTTCATCATTTGTATCTGAAGTTTGTGTTGATGATGTTGATCAACAGAAGAACAATGAAAGCTGCACAACCAAAACATCCAGCTAAGAGAAATAAAAACTCCACCACAGTGGATGCTATGTTAATTAACTAGTGTTCCATAGAGTAATAAACACATAGACAGTTGTGCTGTATTACAGTGTGGTTCCAGTCTAATTCAAAATAAAGAGATTGATATAGAATCACTTGTCTGAACAATGTTACTAACTGAATTCAAATAAATCAGTGGTTCTGTTGTTGAACATTTATATTAATTCTGGTGATATTTCTTCTGTCAGAATCCTCATTCAAATTTATTCATAAAGTCAGATTGACTGATTCTAAAGGTTGTAGAATAAAAAAAAATTCATGTACAGCGGAGGATAAATAGTTCCTCAGTTCAATCTTGGCTTTTATGTTCAGAAGTAATAAGTTCAATGGCTTAACTTATCAAGAGCTTAAGCTACTTCTTAAATTTTTAAGATATTTTCAACAGATGTTCGTTTTTTTCGTCATTATCAAGTAAACACCTCTTGATTTCATTCCATTTTAAAACCAGTCCATGACCGTTTGAGTTGAGAAAATAGGGATTCTGGCGGTTAAGCTGACTAATAGTTAAGATTTTACGGGTGATCTAATTCAGAATCCGTTACAATGACGTATATGCATTGAAACTCTTTATCTTCCTATCAGCTTTTAGATAAACTTGATATGAATGACACTAGTCTTTACTTAGTGATCAATCAGTGACAAATACACCTTAGTCTTAAAGGTAATAACATCTCAAACGGTCAATCTGGATGACATGAGAAAGAGAGCATTCATTTACCAAAGATTAAATAAGATTTAAAACGTATAGAACCTAGGTTCAAGGTTTCTAATTATGTAACTGTTAGGATATTTATCCAATATCCTAAGAGAATTATTGGTCTATTCCTATCGGTTAATTCCTACTGGTCAATTTCATGGTCCTCCTAGATATCAAAATCTATAAATACGCATTATATGTAACGTTTTATGACCAGGACCAGGACCCAGATGCTGATTCTCTTCTGGACTCAGACCTCGTACTTTCTGGATGCTTGTAGAATACAGGTTCTACTTCATATCAAGTCACTCAATGGGGTTTGGGACACTCGGATTAGAGTCGCATATCGTGTCGCCGGGTCCTCGAACCTCGCTCTCGTTTTCCGACTAGGTAAACTCGTAATAGTTCAAATATGTCAAGTTGACGTGTTTATGTGTAGGCGTAACAATAACACTACAAATGCTTTCTTTATGTAAAAGAAATAAACACAAATGCAGTAATATAAATGTTTGTACATTCAAGTATCAATGAATAATGAGATAACAATAATGATAATCATAATTGAACATTGAATCAATGAATAACTCAAAGTTGACGAATGAATAAATCAAAATAATAATAATAATAATAATAATAATAATAATAATAATAATAATAATAAAGCAAGAGAATAAGAAGAAACTATAAAATACAAACACCTTATTATGGTTTATTTATAATTATGCTCAATTTTTTCTAAAAGTTTTGCTTTCCATAATTCTTCAGGAATTTGTGTAGCCCATGTAGGATATTGTGAAATTGGTAATTGAAAATTAGACATGTACATTTTAATTTTATCAGCTTCATCTATAAATTTAGAAAAAGGGTGCAAAAAAGAAATAAATTTGAAAATATTTTGAGATAATTAAGATGAAATGAGTATACATTATTAAGTAAATTAAATTACATTTACAATAGAAAAAGAAAGGTCAGTTAGCAGTTGAAATATTTGTGTACAGTTGTTCCTTAACAGAGATAAAATTTTTGTTTTGATCATAACATATTTACGATTAGAATCTTTAAGAGATTAATAAACACAGAGATTGTGTCTGTTTTCGATTTTTCATGAACTATATACAGTCATATTCTTCAGTCAGTCAGATGCAACGTAGAAATTGGCACGTAAGTTACATCAGTTCATGTTGCCATACCACATCAGCACAAATACGCAATTGTCAATTCAAATCCAATAGTAGAACAGGTATTTAAGGTATTAGAAGTAGTCGGAGAGATTAGGATGAGAAGATATTATTCAAGAAGTATGATTCAGTGAAATAAGTTTAGAAAGTCAAAAGTAGAGTTCTTGAAGAACCCAGAAGATTAGGATTTGAGAGAGCTCAAAGAGAGGATGCACCTGCGCCATTGCAAACGATTTTGAGCCATGTCGTTCAAGGTCTCTAACCATTGATGACTTTCGTCTCGCGGACCCCAACCAGGTAGTCGAAACCTACCGACATGACTCAATCCACTGGTCAGTGACTTCATGGATTTCTGCCATGTTTTGGTCTGGCCGCCCCTAACTTTCTTCCAACCTATTCCTACACTACAAAACAAAGCTCTTCGAGGCAGTCGGTGGTTAGGCATACGCAACACATGTCCCAACCACCTCAACTGATCAAGTTTCATTACTTCATCTATTGATCTGCCATTCTTACCTAGCACCCGATTCCTAATAACAGCGTTGCTGCTACCTTGACGTGGTGGTCGGGCTTGCCTATCATGATGACCCAACCGAGCTATACTGGCTGGAACATATGTTCCTGAAGGTCCTAACATGCAAGGCAGGTCGATTGGAGAGCGATGAGACTAAAAGCAGCTACCCAAGGTCTGAGGGCGAAGTCGTACTGCTGACTGCAGAGGGGTGTGACAGCAGTAAGGTGTTTCCCTCGGACAACCGGCATCTGCAGCGATGCTGCCTTCTCACAAGGAAGGAAGGGTTAGAAAAATTCGGCCCTAAAAATTTCACACCTCACCCTACCTCACGGATTACCGTCTCCATCGGTAAGGGTGCCCACTAAGGGCCTTTAAAAGCAGAGCTAATACTCAAAAATCCTTTCATAAAAAGGCCGTGCTGACCGGCCTCAAGCAGTTGTCCCTTGGGCTCTGCGGTCGCGCTGCCAGTTCCCCAAGACCAACACTAATCTACCTTCCTTTTCAGGTTCCTCAAGAAACAACTTTCCACGGTGTGGGCAGCCGGTAAGTGACAACCGCCCTCATACCCGTAACAGCACGAGAGACCAAATTGGTCGAAATCAAATCCTTCCTACACCCCCTAATACTTCTCTTCTCTCCACAACGAACTCTACTCACAGTCCTTTTTCTCACTGCACCGCTAATGCAGACGAAACGTTCATGAAACGTCATTCCTGGTCTCTTGAAACCACGTTCTAGACTACATATTGGAGCATTTAATGTAAGGACATTGTGTCAAATAGGGCAACAGGCATCATTAGCTAGGACCTTAGAATCTCGTGCCATCGATGTATGCTGTTTCTCGGAAACGCGCATACAGGATCCTAGTAAAATTATTAATCTGATTTCACCTTGTCAAAACAAAGAAGCGGCTCGATTTACTCTTCGTGTATCTGGAAGCCCTGATGCTGCTTCACGGGGTCTTGCTGGCGTAGGCATAGCATTGAGTCGTAGAGCTGAACAGTCATATTCTTAGGATTTTTTGCATTGATTATTTGATAAGTTGTATGATATATGCGGATGTCAATACAGTTTTTATGGTATGGAGTGAACACTTATAGGACTATAAAAGCTATCATCCAAAAGACAGGTGTTTATTGAGATTTGTATACTCTTCAGTTAGGAGTACTAGTGAAAATATAAGGAGTACTGGAAAAAGTTTTGTCGTTCCGGTTAGCGCATTCAACAGTAGTGCACACTGATACCCTGAAATCAACGTAGTTTACAATCACTAGTGCGCAACTGTTATAGAAGCAACCGTTCTTGTTAAGTTCTTTTACATATATATGTTGTCCATATATTTCCCCCACTTTCGTTTCTTGCGTATTGACTTATACTACTGACTTATATTCAGTAAACAATTTTATCTCTGATAATTTTTTAAGTGTGTAATGTAGGGAAGCCTTTCTGTCTGCGGATATTCAGATGCGTTAATTTGGCTTTGAAACTTAACGAGTTGATGTTTGTACCCAATTTGTGTTTATTCACTAATAAAAGAAACGTTATTTAGCCATATAGTTGTTCTTGTTGAACTTCGATTTTAAGCGTATCTCAATCGGGTTGTTGGACGTTTCGACAGATTTAACGTTTCTAGTAGTGCGCTTCAATTTCCATTTATTTTCTCTATTCGATATCAGTTGATGATGGAAAATAACTGAATAGTCAATAGTCACGCACGGCCTTTTTATGAAAGGTATTTAGAGGATTAGCTCCGTTCTTAAAGGCCCTTAGTGGGCACTCTTACCCAAGGAGACGGAAATCCATGAGGTAGGGGAGGTGTGACATTGTCACTGTTCATGCGTTTCATACAAATTCCATTGTTTTCTAACTCTTCCTTTCTTGATCTTCCCCCATCTTCTGCTGCCAGACATTACGTTGACACATGTCATATACTACTTATAAGTAGCTCGCACCACACTGCGACCACCAAGTAAGCGTTGCTAGTGTTAAGAAAAGAGCACTAGGTAAGGATTGCAGATCGATTGATGAAGTAGTAAATCTTCGTCAGTTGAGGTGGTCGTGACATACGTTACGTATGCCCAAGCACCGACTGTCTCGACGTTCGATGTAGTCTGATGTAGGGGTGGGCCGGAAGAAAGTTAGAGGCGGTCAAACCGAAACATGTTAAAAATCCATGAAGTCATTGACAGTTGAATTGAGCCATGTTAGTACGTGTAGACTGCCTGGTAATCGATGGTTATAGACTGTGAACGATATAGCTCAAAATTGTCTGCAAAGGCGCAGATGCATCTATTCTGTACATTCTTTCAAATTATAATTTTCCAAGTCCCTCATGACCATTTTTTCTCCTTTCAAATTTATTGCACTGGTTTGTGCATCTCAAATCATATCTTCAGTCCATAATCTTTCTGATCATCGATAATACCTCAACTAACTCTATTAAAATGGGATTTTTAGTGATAATTCCATTTCCCAATGCTAACAAGATACGACAACTTTAACTGATGTACGTACGTACGAAGTTCTACGTGGCAGCCGACTGACTAACTGACATGGGTGGGGAAGAATATCGGCTCATAATTGTTCGTAGTCAGCTATAAGCTATGTTGAATCTAGGAGAAAGAAATATGCACCGATAGAAGTAACTAAACTTCATATCAGTACAGTGAAGTAAAGTTAAGTTGTGGGTAGGGGTTCCGGGGAGGGATACAATAGGGCGTAGTAGGATGTTGAGTTTGTGGAGTTTCGGCCTACCGTAGAATCGTGGAATTATCAAGAGAAATTTCAAGGATGTTAAAACATCTGGTGGATGAATCAAGATACTCCATTAGGTCTGCCACACAATTCTAGGATTAACTCAAGAGGATTCAAATTGACAACGACGAAACGATGATACCCTTCGACGTAACAGCCTTATTCTTTAGCCAAGCTTGGCTAAAGAAACTCTTTCCGTGCTCCTCATCAACGACACAAATCTGCACAAATATACAAAGCTTCAGAGTTAAAGTCTGCTTGAACTCATAGATCTATGCTTAACGACGTATTTTCAATTCAACAACAGAGTCTACGAACAAACAAAAGGAACACCAATGGGATCACCAATTTCTGGAATCATCGCAGGAAGTCGTTATGCAGAGACTAGAAGCGTTGATTTCACCAGTGATAAAGCCAAAAATGTGGGTTCACTATGTAGACAACACATTGGTCATTATCAAAAGGAACGAGCTGGAGTACATCTACAGTCTGATCAACAACGTCTTCGATGACATCAAATTCACGATGGAAAAGGAATCAAACAACATTCTATCATTCCTGGATGTACTAACCACCAGAACGAACACAGAAAAACTGGAAACTCAAGTATTTCGGAAGCCAACTAACACAGACATAATTCTCAACTACTGTAGCAACAACCCAAGAACCCACAAAATCAACTACATACAAACGTTGTTTAAGACAGAGAAGACACACTGCAGCACATATGAAGCACTAAAAAACGAGGAAAAACACCTTGTGACTATCTTCCAAAAGAACAGCTATCCACGCAACTTCATCAGTAAACATCAACCGAAATCGTCAACACAAGCGAAATCAAATACAGAAACCAATATACGAATCATCCTACCATACATAAAAGGCATACAACACGATTACTGAAACAATTTGGAATAGGTGTTGCACACAAACCAACACAATCACTTTAATCAATCCTATGTGTGCAGACCAAAAGACAAAATGACAAAGGAAGAAAAACCAAATATTATCTACAAAATCAACTGCTCAGATGGTGTAAAACACTACATAGGACAAGGTGGACATCCTCAGCTTCGTTTGCATGAACACCCATTAACAGTCAAACGCCAAGACAATCCTTCACTTATATCAATACACACCGACAATTATGGACACACATTTGATTGGAACAATGTGGAAATACTGGATAGGAGGAGGACAAAGAACACTAGAGAATTTTTAGAAGCTTGGCACTCAGGTCAATCAGCAATCAACAAACACATCGACATTGACCCAATTTATCAACCAATCAGAAAAACCATAGGTGCACAGGATCAAGAAACAGATCAAAAAAGGGGGATACAATCAAAACAAAGGTGCAAACAACGACAAGTTTAAGGTCAACAACAACCAATCAAGATCGAGGTTAGCAGAACAAGCTACAGGTCAAACGTGGAGAAATTCGAATGCTTCACTTCTCTGCCTGAAGTTTGTGCTGATGATGTTGTTCAGAAGAAGAACAACGAAAGCTCCACAACCAAAACATCCAGCTCAGAGAACGAAACACCACCACAAACAAATCTGATAATTAGGTCAGTAAATTACAAAGTGTTAGTTTAATTTGAACATCACACAAAACAATCATATTCACACATTATTAGATATGACAGACCTAGTGAATAAGAGTGAAAATGAAAACTGAACAGCATTAATCACATTAATTAATTTAACTTACCAGGAGTAATGGTAATTTGTGATGTAGATGCCGGTGTATTTTGATTCCACAATTCAATATGAGATGAATCATCATTTAGATTAGTACATAAATCAGTAGCCTAAATGTATACAGATGATGACGGAAAAGCGAAACAAAACAATATTGTACAACTCAACTTTTAATTCATTAGTTTAATTAAAAAAAGTATTAAATTGAATGTTTATCAAGTAATTGAATGATTAAACGGTCAATCAATCAATCAATCGCAACGTAGAAATTCGTACGTACGTACGTACGTCAGTTCAAGTTGCCATACCACATTAGCACAAATACGCAATTGTCAATTCAAATCCCATAGAAGTAGAGGTAGTAGAACAATTAGAAGTAATCGGAGAGATTAAGGTTCGAAGATATTATTCAAGGAGTATAATTCAGTGAGGTAAATTTAGAAATAGAAAGATAGAGGTGATGAGGAATTCAGAAGATAAGGGTTTGAGAGAAGATAAAGAATAAATGCACCTGCGTCATTGCAAACGGTTTTGAGTCATGTCATTCAGGGTCTCTAACCATCAGTGACTTCCGTCTCGCAGACCACAACCAGGTAGCCGACAACTACCAACATGACTTTGTCCACTTGTCAGTGACTTTATGGAATTGTACGTTCGGAGATGCAACATACATCGATTGCGCGGGATTCCAGAGTTCTAGCTAAGTAAGCCTGTTGACCTATTCGGCACAAGGTGAGAATATTAAAAACTCCAATATGTAGTTTATAGCGGTCAAACCGTTTGCTTCAGCGGTGCGAGGTGACAAACGATCGAAAGAAGAGTTGGTCGTGGAGATAAAAAGTTATTACGAGGTGTAGAAAAGGATTCGATTTAGATGGATTTGGTCTCGTGAACTTTTATGGGTATGAGGGCGGGTGTTACTTCCCGGCTGCTCACACCCTGGAAGGGTTCTAGTTGTCAGAAGGGGCATCGGCCTCGTGACTTGCGAAGGAAGTCGGCTTTCATCATAAGATGTCATAACTCTTCTGAATGAAGAACTTTTAACTCCTGGGGAAGGGTTTATGTGGTTTGAATTTTTTTTCAGCTTTTTAGCAAATTAGATTTTTGCGGGATGGAGTGGCCAACCCCAATCCCAACCCTCCTGCTTTATCCGGGCTTGGGACCGGCAGGTATACAGGTGGAGTTATGAGTAAGGGTCATTGGCACCATAAACTGTTCGCAAACATGAAGAAACATTGGAAATCAGAAAGCATTGAATTGATCGATTAATGATCTTCAAATTTAATTAATTGGAGATTTGTAATTTGAAGAATATCTGCGACTCAAAACAACTGCTAAACAACACCAAAGTCATAATATTCAGTACAAACGTTAAACCAGTTCTGTAGTATGAAGCAGAAACTTGGAAAATCATGAAAGCCATCACCTAGAAGATGCAGTTATCTATTAACAGTTGTCTAAGCAAGATACTCCTCATTTGTTGGCCAAACACCATTGTCAACAACCTACTGTGGGATAGAACAAACCAGTTTCTAACTAAGAAAGAAATCAGAAAAAGCGCTTGAGGTAGATAGGACAAACATTTCGGAAATCATCCAACTGCGTCACAAAACAAGCCCTCGCTTGGAACTCTCAAGGTCAAAGGAAAAAAGGTAAGCCAAGGAACATATTGCTCCAAGAATCGAAGACAGATATGAAAAGAAAGAATAGCAATCGGGTAGAACTGGAAAGGAATGCCCACGAGAACGTAGGTTGGAGAATGATGGTCGGCTGCCTATGCTTCATTAGGAGTAACAGGTGTAAGTAAGCAAATAATTTGATTTGGGATCATACCCAGTACAATTCGTATGTTAACTAACCAATACCAGTTAACCATTCTCCAAAGAAATTGGTAAACGTAGATTTAATATTGTGAGATTGTTCAAATTTTGTTACAGATAATATAAGCTATACACATATATATGTCCTTAAGGAAAGAAAGCTATATTTTTGACCAATAGAGTATGACCACTTTTCTGGGGGAGGAAATAAGGTCATAGTCTTAATTAAGACCATCATTTTATTATTCAGCCTATGTCTATTTGATCTAGAGAATCAATAAATCAATGTTCTTCAATTTTAGAGGTCAAATTGTTCCACTTATTTATACTTTAAATGGTCACTGAATTGTAATATACTTTTATACATATTAATTAGTACTATTATTTGAAATATCTCACGTGGAGTAAGTTGGAATATTTTTTTTCTACTGTACTATTGGTTATTGGTGACAATCAAGTTATAATTTAATATTTAAACGAACCAGTGGAGTTTCGATCGATCACTGTTAATTACTCTGTACGTTTATGGATCAACATTTATGATGCCCGCTGGAACAATATATACACTACTGTCCAGTTCAATAAATAATAATGGTCTAGCATGTAGTCTAAGATTGAGAGATTCATGACTTCAATGAAACGCAACTACTTTCACAACCCTATAGTGACAATTATCATGTGACTTGCTTCGTAAGGGAATTCTCAGAGTTCCAGTGAGAAACTATGACCAGTGTGGAGTTCAACTGTATCGGGTGTGAAATAGTTACCTCCCGAAGATAATAGATTATCACCGCACAATATTGTGGATTCATTCAAGTTAGACACTAACACTGTTGGATGCCGACTCAGTGATTGAGCGTTCACACAAAACCGAAGGTCCTTAGTTCGAGTCCTAGTTGCGGAGTGGTGCATACACACTGCTGAGTCTCATACTACGATTAAACGTCCATTCAATGCTTCTAGGTTTCCAGTGGTGGTCTAGCACTGATTGGTTGACGATTTCAATGAATAATATAATGAGCGGGATTTTCAGATGGCTAGTCAGTGTCGAAAAGAGACAAACTCTTGTCAAATGAATGGAACGCATTAAAATCTAATCAATCAGTTGATAGGTATGATTATAATATTTCATTTATTTCATCATCATACTGATTCGTGCAGCAGTTGACTATGATGCCTAAATGACACTGTTTTTAATGAATTAGACAAAATACATTAAACGTTTTGTGGGAAAATTGTTTTCTTAGTTCAACTCTAGAGTTTTCTTTGGAACTAGTTCTTGTTAGCGCCATTTTCCGACACAAATATGAATAATATGAAGGTTTTTAAAATGTTTATCCTGTTTTCTCATTGGTCAATTATTGTTCATTCTTATTTTGTGTATTCTATCCAGTCTGTGATCGTTTAGTCAGACGACAATATATGCTACAGAATGTGGTATCAGTAGTAGGAGGACCTTTAGAGTTAAGCACAGATAGTCGTTTGAACTAAATAACATCGTTCGCAAGACGATAATAACCGATGATTAGAGACCTTGAACGACATGGCCCAAAATCGTTTGCAATGACGCAGGTGAATTCATTCATTGTGTTCTCTCAAATTCTAATCTTCTGAATTCCTTATCACCTCTATCTTTATCTCTCTAAATTTATCTCACTGAATTATTCATCTTGAATAATATCTCCGAACCCTAATCTCATTCCAAACTATACTTTTTAAATGAACGTCACTAATACACTAATCATGTTTATAAATTGAATGTGGGACTATGGTTTGAAATCGAAAGCATAAAATTTAAGTTTTCAAGACTTTGAGTGGCCAAACCAAGCACATAGCACAAATCCATGAAGTCACTGATAATTGGACAGAGGCATGTAAGTAGGTCTAGACTAACTCTGGTCTATGATACAATCGTGACAGGTAGTTAGAGACGCTAACATGGCTCAAAATCATTTGCAATGAATGACGCAGATGCATCCGCTCTTTATCGCCTTTCAAATCCGAATCTTCTAAATTCCTCATGACCAGTTTTTTTCTCTTTGCATATTTATTTCACTGACTTATAATTCTTGAATAACATCTTCAAACTTTAATCTTAACAATTACTGTTCATGCTCCTGCTACCTCTAAAACTATGGGCTTTGAATTGACAATTCAATCTCACTGTGCTTATGTAATATGGCAACTTGAACTGATCTTACGTAGTAGCTGACTAACTTTCAGGACTTAACCAATATAAAAACTCTACATTGTATTTCTTAAAATGAACTATCACCTTTATAATAAAAGTTGAATTGAAGAGAACAGTACAAGCTACTAAAAAATCATTTCATTCAAAAAATGAAAAAACAAGCTTACTGTAAATGGTCCTCTTGGTTCAAATTCAGTTCGATTCAAATGTCGATTTAAAAGATGATCTACATCCAATTGTAGATTGATTGAACCACTGTTACCTTCACCATCATCAACATCAGCACCGACATGATTAACATATTCAACTGATTGAATACATGATCCATGTTGTTGACTCACTTCTAATTCATCATTTTCATTATCTGATAAATTATCATTTAGTATTTCACGATTATCATGATTATTATCCTGAAGGTCATCATCATCGTCATCGTCACTGTCATCGCCATCGTTGTTATCATTGGCCATGTGTACAATTTCACTGCCTAATAGGGTATAACCAATTGGTATAACTGTTGAATCAATCATATGATCATTATTTTCTATGCCTCCTATTTACAAATATTATTTTTAGAACAAAAAAAGAAAAAAAAACATTTATTTATATAACTGTAATGTTCAATTAGAATTATGTGGAGATTAGTGTGTTTTATGCACATTGAAATTAATCAATCAATGATCAATGATTGTTAGATCACCATTAGATACCTGGAAGCACCGGATGGCTGTTTCATGATCCTGGTATGGGACTCGACTCATCAGTAGTTGGATGCTGGCTTAGTGGTCCATATGGTTAGGCGTTCGCACTAAAGACCAAAGGTCTTGAGTTCGAATCCTGTGAGCAGCAGGAGTCGTGGGTGCGCACTGCTGATGAGTTGTTCCACGCCAGGACCACGAGACGGCCGTCCGGCACTTCCAGGTATTCTAATGGTAGTCTAATAATCAATGATTGATTGGTAATTTCAATGTGCAAATATAACTATGATGATTATTCTCACCTTCATCATGATTTGAATTTGGAGAAGATGGTTCACTAAATCTTTTCATCACCATGATTAAATGATACACAATGAAATGTGTATTTTTTTTTATTATTAGAAATTACATATAGGCATATTTATCAACTGTAAAAAGAATTTTAAAAAAACTATGAATTAGTCATGAAGTATAAATATTGAATTAATTTGTACTAGCTATTTAAATTGTTAAATAATCTTAAAAATTAATTAAATTTACAATTTATCACTGTTGTTTAAGTGAATACAGCTGATCGCGTTCAATGGATGCTCAGTGTTTGAAATAAAAGTTAATAGCTTTAAAAATCTCAAAGTAAACATTAACTCTCAGATTCATGTATATTCAGTTGATGATAGGTTTCAAATAGAAGGGACAGTTCATTTTCGGATCCCATTCTTGAAATCATGAATCAATCATTGTAAGACCATCATTAGAAACCTGTCAGTAGTATAGGATGATCATTTCGCCCTAGTATGGGACTCAGCAGCAGTGAGCATCCATGACTCCCGCTAGTCGTAGGAATCGAACACCAGACCTTCAGTCTTGCGCGAGAATGTTCATCTCTGATCAATCTAAGTATTTTGTCTTCAATAGTTACTACTGCCTACATCCGATAAGGTTGAACTCTATAGGTCATATCTTCGCATTAGAATTGCGAGAAATGGCTCACCAAGTTACAGAAGTCACTAGATAGGCACACCGTACAATTTCGCAACAGTGATTCAATCATTTCAAACAACAATCTCCATAACTCTATCATGAAAGATTCCATTCTATTTATTATGTTTGAAAATTGACAACACAATAATAAAAAAATAAGAAATCAGAACAAATAAGATTACATTGATTAAAATATTTCTATTTAGTATGAAAAAAAAAACTTCTAAATATTCAATCTAAAAAAAACCAGTAAGATAAAAAACAATGGTAGTTAGCATTATTACTGTTATCAGTGTTCATTATATATATATATCAAACATTATAAATAAAGTACAAACGACAATGATCAATCAATGATCAAAAGACAGTTTCTTTTAAATAGACATATATATAAATGAATAAAAGATATTTTAACCCAGTGAATAAGAGTAATATTACTACTACTACTAATTACTAGTATTATGATTATTAATAGTATTGTTGTTATCATTAGAAAAATGATAATTATTCCATATTTCATAAAATAATGGACGACAATTAACGATAGCTTTTAATTTACTACATAATAAAAAACAACCAGACATTTTCCGATGTAATGAATAACTTTCTTCCGGTGGTGGACTTAATCTATGCTCAAGCATAACTGGTATTAAATGACTAATACGTTTAGTGGTTGATTGTTGACTAAAATCAAAATCTTTTTCTGATGCAAATGCTTCACCCAATATACCGACTGCATTGACATGTGCTTGTTGTAAAAGCTATAGATTGGAAATGAAAAAAACAAGAGAATTAAAAAATTTTGGTAAATGTATTGAACAAGCTATTATGTAGTCAGATTATTTTTTAAAAAAAAAACAAACCAAAAACACGAAAAACTACAATCAGTGAATAAGTGAATCGATGTATCCTAGGACAACCGAGTAATTAATGCTGTTGTTAGGAAACGAGTATTAGATAGGGATGGTAAATCAATAGATGAAGTAATGAAATTTCATCAGTTGAGTTGGTTGGGACATGTGTTACGTATGCCCAAACACCGACTGTCTCGACGAGCTGTTTTGTGGTGTAGGAGTAAATTGAAAGAGAGCTAGGGGCGGCCAATCCAAAACATGGCACAAATGAATGAAGTCACTGACGACAAGTGGACTGAGTCATGTTGGTAAATGTACACTACCTGGTTGGGGTTCGCGAGACGATAGTCACCGATGGTTAGAGTGTGGTGCTGTGGCATTCACTACAAGAGATCTTGAATGACATGGCTCAAAACCGTTTGCAATGGCGTAGGTGCATCTACTCGTTGTGTTCTCTCAAATTCTAATCTTCGAAATTCCTCATCACCTCTATCTTTCTCTTTCGAAAGTTACCTCACTGAATTATGCTTCTCGAATCATATCTTCGCTCCCTAATCTTCTCTACAATCTCTATCACTATGGGATTTGAACTGACAGTTGCGTCTCTGTGCTAATGTGGTATGGCAACCTGAACTTATGCACGTACGTACGGAGTTCTAAGTTGTAGCCTACTGACTGGCTGAATCGACGAATGGTCATGAATAATGAATACATCGGGATTACCGATAAAAATTTTCGAACATGTCAGAGGAGATTCTTATCAACCGTTGATGATTATTTCATCAACCACTGTAGTGAACGAGAACACAGGTGGGCCAACCGAATTGTATTTAACGAAAATTACAGAGTTACTCAGTAAAATCGGAAAACCATATCGTAAATCGTTCATTTGCAAATTATCAGTCCATTCTATCGAACTGGACTGTTCCTGTTGCAAAACATCAATCCATTGTCACTATTCATGCGTTTCATACAAATTCCATTATGCTCCCATTCTTCCTTTCTTGATCTTCCCCCATCTTCTGCTGTCAGACATTACGTTGACACTCACGCCATATACTACTTATAAGTAGCTCACACGACACCACCAATAGGGAATTTTCACTTTTCAACATGATTCAGTAGAACTTAATCATTGGTTTATTGATTGATACTACACCTTAATCCGGCCATCGACTGAATATTTTCCAGGGTTACTTCCATGCTAGTCTAGGTCTGGATTGTATGGTAGAGGAGATGGTGGAGAGGCATATGAAGCATCTTTAAACCATCCAAGTTGATAGCTTACAGCTTCACCAACAGGTTTATCATCTGTTCTTAGAACCTTACGTTCATTCTCAACCTTGTTCATTTGGTTGTTACAGTTGTGCCTTCAAGACACTTATGGTCAAATATTAATAATCTATACACTTCTATCTTTGAAGGTTATGTTTCAATTAATAGTACAAAAGACTAAACATGAAAAATGTAGGATCTGAGATATTTGTCAGCCAAGAACAACCACCGGGCACTATACGAAAACGTGGAATTCTGTCATCTGATTATAAAAAAAGCTGTATATCATTCAAACCACCAACAGCGGTCGAAATTGAACGGAGTCCACTCTTTCTATCTGAATGCTCCAAAATAGCCATGCGTATATAGCCATTAACAAGGAAGTTATATGAACTCCCCTTTTGCCTCACGAAATGGAGAAGACGAAAAGCGAGTGTGGACGGAGGATCTATCTAAGGGAGTTGGAAAATCCTGATTCCAAACTAATGGTTCACACGGGATCGAGGATCATGAAGGAACGAATAGCGTGTAAACCTATTGCTGGTCACCGGCTACGTTACTCCACTGCCTCATGGATTAGACATGTAGGTCAAAGGCTCGGAGAGTGGCTCCCTAAGAAAACCACCTGCCTCAGTCCGAGAACTCGGATAGTAAACGATATAAACATACTATCGCAATGTAAGCGATACGTTTAGTTCTCACAAAAAAGTAGCCATTTTCAAAAGCATCAAAGCAAAAAACAAATCAAATCAAAAAAAACTATGAATTTACTTTAGTTTCGTAACCAGTTAAAAAGCCTAAATCTTTCGATAATTCAAGTATGGTTTTTTCATCATGTTCCGCTGAAGCATGAATCAAACGAATATATGTATCAACAAATGATTTGCTATATTCTCTGGAAGCTCCAAAATCCAATAAAACAATCTACAATAGAATAAATATTTAAGAATAATAATAATGATAATAATAATAATAATCGCTTGAAACAAAATAATTCATACTTGATATGAATGAGTTTTCAAGAACCTCAGTAGAATTTTAAAAGAAAATCAGCGAAAGAAAGTCGTAAACAAGTGATGCACATGAACCTGACTTTTAGCCACAATTTCGTATTTACTTCATCACCCGGCCGTAGCCGATACTTTGACATCGTAGTTGGGCCTTCCTATCATTATAACCCGAATCATAGATGTCAGTTGGAACACTTGTTCCTTTACGTCCGACATGACATGTACGTCGGTTGAAAAGTGGTAATACCAACTTAAAGTCTGACGGCAAAGTCCTATCTCTAATTTTACTGTGGTGTAACAGCCACCTTTCCACAATGAACAGAGTGGACCGAGAAAATTAAGGCCTGAAATTACCACACTTTATCTCAGTCAGTCAGTCAGTCAGATGCAACGTAGAACTTTGTACATAAGTACATCAGTTCATGTTGCCATACCACATCAGCACAGAGAAGTAATCGTCAATTCAAATCCAATAGTAGAAGAGGTAGTAAGGGAATTAGAAATAATCGGAGAGGTTAGGATTAGAAGATACTACTCAAGAAGTATGATTCAGTGAGAAAAGTTTAGAGAGTCGAAACTAGAGGGGTTGAAGAATCCAGAAGATTAGCATTTGAGAGAACACAGAATAAATGCACTGGCGCCATTGCGAACGATTTTGAGCCATGTCATTCAAGGTCTCTAACCATCGATTATTATCATCTCGCGGACCCCAACCAGGTAGTCGACAATTACCGACATGGCTAAGTCCACTCGTCAATGACTTCATGGATTTGTGCCATGTTTTGGTTTGGCCGCCCCTAACTTTCTTCCAAACTACTCCTACACTACAAAACAAAGCTCTTCGAGGCAGTCGGTGGTTGGGCATACGCAACACATGTCCCAACCACCTCAACTGGTGAAGTTTCAATACTTCATCGATTGATCTGCCATTCTTACCTAGCACCCGATTCCTAATAACAGCGTTGCTCACTCGGGTGTCCCACGATATACGAGCAATGCTTCGAAGACACCCATGATCGAAAACCAGTAACCTACGAACATCTTCTACTCTCACTGGCCATGTTTCACAGCCATAAAGTAAGACGGAGCGAACCACTGCGCAGTACACTCGTCCTTTAGTCAGCAAACGGATATCTCGCCTACGCCATAAGTGACGCAGGTTGGCAAAAGCCAATCGAGCCTTCTGTATCCGAGCTGAGATTTCGTCAGTCACCAGGCCATTGGCACTGATGAGACTCCCAAGATAAGTGAAGCGGTCTACACGTTCAACCACTTCACTCCCTATCACTAGTTCAGGTGCCGATGCAACCCAGTCTTGAAGCAACATTTTGCATTTCGAGGGGGAAAACCGCATCCCGAACATGCTTGCATTGTTGCTTAGGGTAGTCAGAGGACTGCATTTTGTCAGCGTCTTCACCAAGTAGGACAATGTCATCGGCATATTCTAAGTCAATAAGCGAGCCACCTGGAAGAAGGTCTACTCCTGAAAATTGAGACGAGGATAAGGTTATTTCTAGGAGCATGTCTATGATAAAATTAAACAAGAATGGAGAAAGTGGACATCCCTGACGGACACCACTTGATGTAGAGAATTCCGGTGACAGTTCGCCATAAGCCCTCACCCGACCAGTGGTGTTCGAGTAAAGAGCTTGTATAAGGTTAATGTACTTCTGTGGTACACCTTTCAATGACAGACACTGCCACAGAACCTCACGATCAACAGAGTCAAATGCCGCCTTAAGGTCTAGGAAAACAACTATTGTAGGACGCCTAAATGTGTGTCTATGTTCCAGGACCTGTCTGAGTGTGAAGACGTGGTCTATACAGCCACGTCCAGGTCGAAAACCAGCCTGGTTTTCTCGAGTCTGCTGTTCACGAGCTTTCGTTAAGCGTCGAAGTATTATTGAGGCCAATATTTTAGATACTATATTGGTTAGACTTATTCCCGTGTGATTGTCACAAGAAGACTTGTGTCCTTTCTTATAGATTGGGACAATCAGTGATTGAGACCAGTCGGATGGGATCACGTCCAGTTCCCAGATTTTACCTAAGATCTCAGTCAGTCTAGCTGCTAAAACTGGACCACCATCCCTGAATATCTCAGGGGTCAGTCTATCAGGACCTGCAGCTCGTCCTCGTTTCAGATTTCCTAACGCTTTCTCAACGTCATAAAGACTAGGGGGACTTACGTCGATTTGCCATTCAGGATGACTGGAGATCGTGGGTAACTGAAGAGTGGCTCGTGGCCAGTTGAACTGATCCCTAAAGTGTTCTGCCCATCGATCCAGCCTCCTGGATTGAGAATGGATAATAAGACCATCCTTTTCCGAGATAGTCTCACTCACATTCGGGTTCCTAATACCGGTTTCTTTGATAAGGCGGAAAAGTTGTCTAGTGTTGCCTATCGCCGCTGCCTTTTCCATCGCTTTTGCTTTCGCCACCCACCACTGTTCGCGGTCGTTACGTAGACTTTTTATAAGTCTGCGCCTAAGCTGACTACGCTCTTCATCATGCTCAGAGTCAGGTGGGATGAGTTTTCGAGCATCCATCAGTTCGGTGGATGCGACTGAAATCCACGGCTTCATCCTAGCCTCATGGTTTACCTTCCTAGCAGATATCACTGCTGTTTCCACAGCCTTTTTGATATCATACCAACCTGCTTCTGGATGGGAATCGCTTGCATGGTTGCTTAACTCTCTTTCTAGTTGCTCCTGAAATATTTTCTTGGTTTGATTATCATTAAGTACACTTTATCTTGTTCTCAACAGATTTCAGTCACCAGTGGTTAGACCAATCTAACAAACAACGACGATGAGCAACATGTGTACCAGGAACCATATATTGATAGGAACATAAAAAGTTGAGAATACCTGTTAGCCGTTGTAAAAAACAATAAGACGATGCTTTTCTTAGAGTAGGTAGTATTTAAAACGTAAATACGGTAATCGATTGACACAAATAGGTGACTAAGGCAATAATTTGATGACATGGGAACATAACATTAGAAATATAGTAGTAACCTTGGTGATTAAAAGCTCACCATTCAAAATAGAATGTATGCTTCAAAGAGTATTAGCTTACTTTGCCTGTTTGAGGATTGTACAAGAAATTAGACCAGTTTGGATCAGTTTGCATAACATGGAATACAAACAACTCCTTTAAACATAGACGTAACAGTTGTTCACCAAGCTGAAAAAAAGCAAGCAGAAAACTGAAACTTTTTCTACTGACTTGTCATTAAAAGGGGAACGTTTAATAAATTCATCAAGTAGAAATGGAAATAACAGTTACAATATTAAGTATTTATCGAAGTCACATAATTCGTAATTGATTAGTCCACAAACACACTAGAAATATGCTTTAAAAGTAAGTTAAAGTGGATTAGGATCGATTGCAAATCCACTTACTCTTTATTGTAATACAGATATTGAGTTTTCATTTTAGTCAAAAGTTTATTCTTTCTTAAATCATAATGTCCATGGTTTACATCTACTAACACCGATTCTGTTACTACTTAAATGACTCTTCGGACTGTAGCTGCTACCTTGACGTGGTGGTCGGGCTTGCCTATCATGATGACCTAACCGAGCTATATTGGCTGGAACATATGTTCCTGTAGGTTCTACCATGCCAAGCAGGTCGATTGGAGAACGATGAAACTAAAAGCACCTCAAGGTCTATTCAAGGTCTGAGGGCGAAAACCTACTGCCGACTGTAGAGGGGTCTGACAGCAGTAAGGTGTTTCCTTCGGACAACCAGCATCTGTAGCTATGCTGCCTTCCTACAAGGAGGGGGTTAGAAAATGTCGACCCTAATAATGTCAAACCTCACTTTACCCAAAGGATTTTCATCTCCAACGGTAAGGCCTTTTAAACAAGAGTGGAGCTAACACTTCAAAAACTTCAAATAAAAAGGCCGTGCGCGACCAGTGTCTAGTAGTCGTAACATTGGCTCTACGGTCACGCTCCATTCTCCTTTTTAGGTTGCTCAAGGAACAAACACCCTTCCACGGTGACATCCGCCCTCATACCCGTAAAAGCACACGAAACCATAATGGTTACAATCAAATCCTTCTTACACCCCCTAACCTCTCTCTTCTCTCCAGGACTAAACCTTCTCACATTCCTTTATCACTCCGCACCGCAAATCCAAACGATTAGAGTTCACGAAACGTTATTCCTGGTTTCTTGAAACCCCGTTCTGAACTACATGTTAGAGATTTTTAATGTTCGGATTTTGTGTCAAATAGGACAACAGGCTTCGTTAGCTAGGACTTTAGAATCTCACGCAATCCATGTATGCTGCGTCTCCGAAACGCGCATACAGGATCACAGTACAGTGATTTTTTTGACTACACCTTTTCCGAATAAAAAGCCAACTCGGTTTACACTGCAGATTCCCGTGGCCTCGTTGGATGAATCTTATGGTGTCGCGGCTGATCGAACAGATAATGGCGACCGTCTGCTGCAGCTATGCTCAGATAACTGCCTATTTCTAGCACAAGGAAGAAAATCTTTTGACATGGTGACCCCAAAAGCCGACCCAACGTTGGACCCAACTAGACCATCCATGGAGAGGCTCCATTGAAGACTGTCGCTCGGTTTGGGGCACATGTTTAGATTTAGATCATGCTCTGGTGCGAACGCGTATTTGTTTGTGTCTCATTGGACGTAGGAAAAACGCTGCAATGAGACTCCTTAGGGTTCTACTTGATGATAGCATAGCTAAGAACATATTTCAGGAACAACTAGAAAAACAGTTACGTAGCCATGTACTAAGTGATGCCCACCCTGAGGTATCTCGGAATGATATTAAAAAGGCTGTCGATCATGAGGTTCTGTGGCAGTGTCTATCATTAAAAGGTGTACCAAAGAAGTACAGCATGGATACAGAAGGCTCAATTAGCCTCTGACGACAAGTGGACTGAGTCATGTTGGTAGATGTAGACTACCTGGTTGGGGTCCGCGAGACGATACTAACCGATGGTTAGAGACCTTGAATGACAAGGCTTAAAATCATTTGCAATGCTGCAGGTGCATCCACTCTTTGTGTTCTCCCAAATGCTAACCTTCTGAATTCATCATCATCTCTATCTTTCTCCTTCTAAATTTATTTCACTGAATTATACTTCCTGAATAGTTTATTTGAACCCTAATCTCGATTACTACTAATACTTCTACCATACGTTGGTTCGTACGTACGTGAGAAGTTTTACGTTGTAGCTGACTGACTGACTTAATGTACTTGGCTTCAAACATACTTTAAGTCTGGGGACTCGTGATACTACCTGATTGCTCAAAATGAAGTACATGGAAGGTTAGAACTTCCAACTTAGTGGCTGAACATCGAACGCTAGCCACAGCGCCATCGTTCAGTACAATATACATGGAATACGAAAACATCAAGCATCGGAATAGTACCATTATGCCTATAATACTTTTACATGTACACTAAATAATCAGTATTACATACAAAGGAAAATGAGAACTGACGAGATAACATACTCACCCAATTTCTCACATCTTGTGGAAGGCTAATACAATCATCTAGCACTAATCCATCCATATATTCAGTGGTTAACACACGACTTGTTGTCAGCTCATCAATTACTTGTGGAACTTGAAAAACCGGATCATCCTCTAATAGCTGAGTGAAACGTTTACCATAAACTGCTTCAAGTAGATAATCACATTCCGCTCTTAATTCTTTTCTGGCAACTTCAATTGCTTTTTCAGCAAATAAACCGCGTGGAAGGAGATTAAAACGACTTAAAAGTGATGTCAAATTATTAATATCTGCATCGATGCTGTCTGCTATACCTGGATATTGTATTTTAATTGCTACAATTCTAAAAATAAAGAAGCAATACTATATGAGTTGTTGTTTATTTGTAGAAGAAGTGGAAATAAAACGTACACAAATATCAAAATAAGTATACTATAGTGCTATTAAAGTAATCAGCAACTTACTGATAGCCAACTGATAAGTTGTGTATTAGACTGTTTACGACAACAGTACTATTCAGCTAACCAAAACAACTACCTTACATTAAATTTGAAGAACTTACAGATTGAAACCCAGAAAATAATAGGAAGATAGAATGCAACCTTTATTAAGGGAATCCCACCTACCATTCTTACACAGGATCAGGATTTTGCAATACTAATAATAGTGGATCTCTGAAACAAAACTAATCTGATGGTAGCAGTGCTTATTTGGAGAAATCAAAAAGCCTTGTTTCTAAATTAAATTGTATGTTAGAATAAATAAGGGCATAGACCGGTAATCGTGGAATAGTACCACAGTTTCTTTACATATTCGTTAAACATTCTATTAGAACTTGTCACCATCATGACGTTAGTCGAGTTGTAAACTGTACACTGCATGACTGCGAAATCAGTCGCACTAAACGCTTGCGATATTTAACTACCTTGAGCTCAGGATTCCCTATGATTTTGTAAGTTAAAATAGTTATTTTCCGATTGTTCATATCTAGCAGCAACCAGTCATTATCAACATGAAGCCTGGAACAAATATACAATGACCCAAATCGCCATATCACATAAGTACGAGAAAAATGAGACAAACTTCAAAATAAAACAAAATAACGTAGTAGCATCGACAGTAAGGACTGAACATTGTAAATATAGTTTTAAAAGGCAATGTCAAAGGTATGCATGACAAAAAAAAACTAGAATTCAATTTCTAGAAAATAAACAGTGAATGCACCTGTACGAAAATACGCTATTGTGATCGAGAAAAAAAAATATCACACAATGCCTCAAAACACTGAACACAGTTATCGCAGAGACTTTAACAACGTAGTCTGGATAACTTGTGTCTTATCTCACAAAGTTGAGGTATATAGGTTTCACTGTATTAATGATGCTCATATCAGTAAACTGAAAGCTACTTGTGATTAGTGCGTTTTTCTTTCCAAGGGTCGATTTTTAAAAATTTAACACAAAACACCGTGGCATAGACAGAGTTATTAGAAAACTAACTAACCTTCCATCCTTAAGTGTTGCTCTGTGAACCTGGCCGATACTTGCTGCGGCAAAAGGTTTCTCCTCAAAGTTACTGACATATTTATCCCAATTCTCGCCAAGCTCCGCTGTAAGAACTTTTCTCATTTGTTTAGCAGGCATGAAATCCGCTGCCTGTCTTACACGTTCAAATATTTTTTGGACCTGAGGACTAACAAAACTTTCATCTAGTTAAAGATGAAAAGAACGAGATGAATAAGTATCTAATTATCACGTTTTGAGCTTTATGAAAAAACTTGGAGTAGAAATACACCAACGCAGATACAGTGGCATACAACTCAAAATTATGCAAATAACTGAATATACACTGATACAAACACTAATCTATAGGCTACATTTTTTATGAGGATTTGAAATAATCTGGCCATTAGTACACCGTTAGTATGGAATAGGCTTAAACTTGCTGCCCAGTCAGTCGACAGTTGCTGTAAATCCCCACCAGGCACTGATAGAGGACAAAAGCTATTTTTGAAACCAGTAAAACCGACAAAACCAAAGCAATTTTCCAATCACCGAAGAAACCCAACTGACCTTGGATACTCAACATTTGTCCAAGCTTAAGAGCAGCTCCACGCATACGACACAATGTGTCCACGATTTTCTCAAGATTAGCATCAGTTAAAAACAAATTTGATGGTGAAGCTGAAGCACCAGAGGCTACAAAATAGGTTGGTTACGCTTCAAAAAATAGGTATACCAGAATATCCAACTTTTTGTTTCGCCCACTCAGTAGCAGCTCCAACACCAAGACTAAATGCCAAATCTGCAAGTAAACTCAAAATTTATTCTTACTTCCAAATCCAGCTACTCTTCCTATACGTGATGACGGTACGTGCCTTTCTTTAGAGAGCGCTTTCTGGAAGTGAACATAAATATGCACCTTACTTGGTCTAGAGTTGGTGGAGAAGGGATTGTGAAGTTCTGAAGAGGAAGTGGTTTCCTAACATTGAGTTCAGCTGAATTGTTTTGACTTTCAGGCTTTGACGTTTTTATATCAGTAATCGGGTCGGAGCTGCTTCCTTTATCACTAGCATTACTTGAGGCTGCAAACCCGAAACTCTCAGAGAGTTTAGGTAAAATTAGTGAATTGGCAATAATCAAATTTTGCTGGTTTAAGAGCCATATTCTTCCAGCTATATAACTAGCAGTCTGAGATAGATTCTGGTCGCTTATTTTACTAAGAAGAGACTTTGATACATTGGCCAGGATGTCACGGTATTCGGATTTCGACCAGGCCCACGAGGCTCTAAGCGTTTGCTCCTTCAATGTAGCATTTACTACTACCCTAATTCCACGTAAAACACCATCTAAGTCACTGAACCTCCGTTGCATCTAGTCTTAAAATTGCGCATTCAATGGCCTAGAGGTAGTTTCGACCTTCCAATATCCAATATCTTTTTCACGAGCTAGTGTAAACCAATTTGATTTCTTTGCGCTCGATTCTTGTTCTTTCGGTACGGTTCCAGATGTTCGGTAATGTCCAGTGGATGGAGGTCTAGCCACTCGACTTTCTAATTCTAGTCAGTTGGTAGTTGGTTGTGAGTTTGTATGTCTCGGGATTTGAATGAAAACGTTTGTTTCAGGGCAGTACGGTTTCCGGATACTAGCAGCCGTCACATTACCAGACCGGAGATCAGTTAGTTGCAATGTGGAGAGTAATAAGGATAATAAGGATAAAATTATAATGCTAATATGAATAAAATTTCAGAACTGAGTAATATATAGATGATTTAGTTTGTTATTTGGTAGTGAAGATTATGAGAGAGGACCGTAGTGTAAGCAAGGGAGAGGAAACAGAGACAATAGGCGGGATAGATTAGGTTAGTGATCTGAGCAGATGGCAATAATAACAACTAGCAGGTCTCAAGACATGCATCATGAACAGCTTGTCCACGAGGGAGATGATAGTCCGTATGTGAGTACGTGATTATCAATTCTCTTCTTAAAGCAGTCCACTGAGGTGGCTGTGGTTACGTCGGCTGGTTGCAAGTTGCGACGACTGGCAATGAGAAAAATTGTGCACAAATCTGAGTATTCGCTCTTTGATGTGCAATTCTTCGAGGATTGCCTCGAGGGGAGTGGTGGTGATGCATCGGTAAGATGATAACGTCGGGATGGTATGGCGTGTTTAATATGCTATACGCCATAATCAGATCGCCTTGAATGATACCGAAGATTATGAGAGAGGACCGAAGTGTAAGCAAGGGAGAGGAAATAGAGATAATCAGTGAGATAGATTAGGTTGATGATCTGAACTTCTACTGTTTACAGTATGTATCCGAATAGTCGAAAGTGATTCTTACCCGATTAGAACTAGGTTTCAGTCCTTCCGGCTCATTGTTCTTGTCGTTTCCAGTTACAAGGACGATAGGTTTATGGACATGATTTAATACATGGTTACTGTTTTCCAGTGAAGATCCAGCTCCTCCTTTAACTTGTTCACTGATGAGACTGACACCACCCAATTCATAGCTATTTTCTCGATCACTAACATTATTTACCATTCGTCTTGGAAAACGTGAAGCAGTTCAAGTTTACGAATACGTTTGAAATAAATGAATTGCTATGAATTCTCTTCCGAGTACTTTTAACACACATCCTAGCTTATCTACATCCGTTTGTTTGTACTGTTCTTGTCCATAAATTGTATGTAATCCAATCAATGGAATCGAATAAAAAATTTGGTACAAATATTTCTCATATTTATGAATGGTTGATTACCATAATATGAATGAAAAAAGTGTACTCTTTCAGCTACGTTTCGCATTCAGCACTTAAAGACCATCGTCGCGCGATAGGGTTCTCTGAAGTCGTTAAGCGTCTGGTTAAATGTGGGGCATATTTTCTGTACATCGACTGCGGTCAGAATACGAGCAACAGATGGTGAACCCTTTGCATATACTATCATCGTATTGGATTGAATTATGTTTTTTTATTCTACATGGCCGTAGTGATTTTCAAACGGAAAATCGTATGCTAGTCCCTAGCCCCCGTTTTGAAGTGCTTCCGATTTCCAAAATAAATGGCAGAGAAAAATTGCTTGAATAACTGAGCTGTTCAGCAGACTATACACAATGCACAGAGAATTTAAATATCCACATTCCATCTCGACTTCGGTTCAAGCAGAACAGTAATAAACACTTTTGAACTTCAAATATACGTTCTATAGTCAGGTCACGATAACTAAAATGACGAGTTATAGGAATTCAAAATCTAAGAATAATCAAAATAAATGTGGAGCATAAGTTTTCCCGAAGGGTGATTTGTTCTTGGATCACAAAGCCTTTGTTCTTCTGTCCTAAGAGCGCAAATCTAACTCAGAGAATCTGAACACAATTTGCTGATAGCCTAGAAGATTTTGAAACTCCCTCGACGTAGCTTACTTTTGTAGGAGTTTTCAGGCTGTCGGCATGACGTCAGAGTACAACCACATTGAAGCACCAACCAGGAATGATTTATCAGTCAGCAGGGAAGCAGTCCATATTTGCGAATTACCTCATAATAGAAGTAATAAAATCGATACGAATCAACATTGTCAAACGTGAATGGATGTGAAATCAAGGTTCCGAATAGGGGTCGGTATCAACGTTATGGGCTAGGGATATTAGTGTTGGGTTCCGGAGCTAGAGCTAAGATTTATGGTTTAAAACGTGTGTTAAAGGTGTTACCATTAAGATTTATGATTAACTTGATACGATAACATGGGTGGGCTCTGTTATGGGAGGAATAAAGACATTTGGCTAGTTAAAACCTTTACATAAATATCATTAATTTCACTGTGTTTTTTGGGTATATTTGTTTTACTTAACTTATGAACTTGTTTGAATTATTATTTTCGGCCATTTTGGACTCCTGTTTGTCTTGGTTGTTCGTTTGCAGTTTTTTGCCCCAAGAATCTATAAAATAGAAGGTAATTGTAATTATTATAATTATTGTTGTTAGAACGACATTGGTCGTCTATTTGTAATAAACAAACACATTTTGGTCGATTATTTGTGAATTGGCAATAAACTTTGGTACCTACTTTGGAGTTTCCTTTTGGTTTAATCCTTGGGATCGTGAATTGCAAATAGATCAACACACAGTGCTTCTAAGGATCAAAGAGCAAAAAATTGGACGTAATAGGCTCCATTACAGGAAATAAATGCACGTGAATTTGATCCAAAGTGAACGTACTTCACGTAACTTAGAGCATCAGCGAGGAGTTTTTCGGCGTTTAAGAAGTATATCCTAATCCAAATGACATTTTCTGATCCTAAAATTTCTAATCCATATACACGCCGGTAAACCGAAATCCTAATCACGCATGAGTTATCGTTATCGTCAACCGAAGCTCCTAACGTTAACTCCTATCAATGTACGAACGTCTGAATCTCAGTTCTGATAATGGCTAGAGTGAACTATATAGATTCCCCTGGTTCAATCAAGGATGCATAACTAGACTGCCGTATATAGAATGACAAGTGAAATATTATTACTATTTTTGATCAATTTAGATTTTCAAGGTCATTTAACTGATTTGATCGTCAACTGCTTTAATAATCGGGTTTCATCACATTCACTGTATTTGCCGGGTATGGATAGTTAATCGTGTAAGATCCACTTTGGAAGGCTTTGTTTGTGAAAATCCCTCCATGTATACTTAATAATTTCCTCAGTTCTATATTTTGTTGATTTGTTCGATTCCATTTTGAGATGATAAAACTCTGCCCGAAAATATCGTAACAGTGCTCACTAGTGACTAGCTTCGTGAGGAAATTCTCGGAGTTCTATTTCAGAGGACTTGACCAATGGAGTTAAACCATGTCGGGTGTAGGCAGTAACTACCAAAGACAAATGGGTGAGGTCGTGCAAAATTCCGTAGATCAATCAGAGTTAGACATTACCATGGTTGGATGCCGATGGTTAGGCGTTCGCGCACAATACCGAAGGTCCCGGGTTCGAATCCTGTGATGAGCAGAGAAACGTAAGTGATCTGATAATGGTACTGAGTACTCTGAATCATCTTAACATGAACCTATTGCTAAAACATCCCTACCTCGCCTCTCGTAGTAACCCTAAGTAATTGTATATCAAAGATCAAAAGCCCAGGTTTATGCACATTTCTTCTAATTAAAGGTCACTCCAAAGCGGACTGACCTCCCAGCCGAGGTGACTTCAGCGGGGTGTTCCAAGAAGGGACTTGGTATAAACGTACCTATATACGGATCACGTTCTAATGCTTGGATCAGCTGCTCGAAGCTTGCTTGTAGTTATCATAGTCGTTCCCTCAGACCAATGATTTACTCTCTGCCCCTTAACATATGAGCTTTCCCTATTTGTCTACGCCTCTGTCTTCTCAAGTAGTATTCACCTCCAATCAATCAACCTATTTATTTGTTCACTTAATTCTGAAATATTTTCATCATCAGTAGAGTTTTCTAATCACTATTCTCAACATTGCGAATAACTGATTTTCCGGAAACCCTACTCCCCTGAAACAAACGCGAATCACGGGACATATAATGTCATTGACAGCTGTCAACTGACTTGAATCAGTGAAGTTAAGTGGCCAGAGTATCATCCATTGGAGGCGAAGACGATTCGTCTGAGCCTCAAAAGGACCTTAAATCCATTGAGAAATGGGCATTGAAAAAAGGTTTAAAGCCAAACCAGCCGAAGTATCACGTCATGTACATTCTTCCCCACATGATGCAAACAATTTGCACCCTCAATAGAAGTCCACTCCTGATTCTCTCCTCAGAGCGTGATCTCCGTTTAGTAAACACAAAAAGCCTCCACACGTGTTCTTACGTTTCGTAATAAGCTCGTTCAGACTATCTTTACCAAATGACGTCTGACGGTTAATAAATCAGAAGATGAATTCGAAGTATCGTATACGTTTTTTGTGGCACACCACAAATAAGGATAGAAGACCACAGACAGACCGGGCAGACAAACTAGCGAGCGAATATGCGGATGAGCGAATGAATTAATAAGATTAAAATGTTCGTATATATACAAAGGAAAATGTCTGAGTCATCGTGATATTTAAGAGATTAATATTAAAGCGAATAGGATGCATATGCGCGTAGGCGTTAAGCAATGCTCAATCATACCAGCTCATACAAACCACACAATAATAAAACCCAATGGTACATACAAGTTGTTGCTAAGCGAATGGCTTAGTTAAATAAATTAATCGAAAGGGCTTAAGCAAATTAAATGAAAGCGGATGCAAATAAATGTGTAGGCACTACAATAGCCCCCTTCCAGCAAACAAGGTTACAAAAATGTCTTTGTTTGCGAGAAAAAAAAAATCAAAATTGTCGGAAAACATCAAAAGTTTCGTCAGTTGAAGTTATCCTATTCGCATACGTTCGTGAGGTCGCAAAGGAACAGA